TCGTACTTTACAAAGTCTTTTAATACGCAAAAAGCCTCCACGTGATATGTTGACTAGGTTACAACCAACCACAGAAGCAGCTCGTAAAACAATAAAAGACACATTCAATCATTGACGCATGTTTCTCCAATGCACCGAAATTGTGAAGAGTGTTTCTATCGTGTTAGTCCTCTCCTTTCTCAGATATGTTGTCAATATAGGGTAATCTTTGATTATAATTAGATCTAGTTATTTAATAAACACTGTATTATTTTTTCATGTATATTTTTCCGTTAAATATGTCCAACTTCTCGAAATCGACAATTTGATTCATTTTTCACTACTCAGCCTTCTATATTTGACTATTAAACATATTAGTTTGTATCTTATTGTAATTCATATCTTCTTTTCTTGTGTCTTTCTTTCCTTCTTTTGTAAAATAATAACCCTCTAGGTAGAAGTCTTTCATTGTATCCTATATTCTAGATATATACTTACAAAACCCAATGTGAACCAAAAACACACCTTGAAAATAAAAACGCAATGTTTCCACATTCACTGCAAGTACCTCATACTTGCGAAAAAACAGTAAATATGAAACACGAAACTGTCTCTATATTAAGTTCACATTTACAATGAACGACAACCCATTACAGTCAAGGCAACCACGCCACATTATAAACTGCTGACAGAAATCCACTAAATGATTCTCCTATTCGTCCAATCCTACTGCATCGAGTCATAACGAAAAAGAGCAAGTATACGCAGATCTGACTACAAAAAAAATATTCCGAAAGAAAAATCCACATTCTATATTTATAAGAACGCTTAAAAACAAACTTTAACACTATTCTAAGAACACGAAGCTTTTCAGTACCCGATCAACTATAACAAACCATTCTAACAGAGTTTTTCTTTTAAACAAGCCTTCATCATAAGCACCTGATAATAGTTACTATGGCAGCAAAACAAATGCTTATTTATAGCTTTCAATACGTTCATTATTACAATATAATCAACTCAGCAGCTTCAGAATCGCTTATCACCTATTACTAGACGTTTTCTTTCACGTTCTACTGATACGATATAATATCCACAAAAAATATAGCGAGTACTTATAAACCATTGACTCTAGTTGGAACTTTCTAGCGTAACGAAACTTCTATTTCTATAAAATCTCAAGCAAATGATAAGCATAATTGCAACAGTAATCGAAACGCGTCTTACTAGCGTTTGATTGTTTTTTTGTTAAAATCATGCTTATAACGCACACAGATGAAGGAGAATCTCTTACAATCTATTATTGGAAGTTTTTTTCTTCAAAACTTTTTGATAATAGTTTATTATGATTATTATTTGCTTGAAAGTTTTCTCATAAACTTTTGACTATAATACCTCATAGTAGGAGAGTTATACACCGATAACATCCTTTAATCATAAGCAATTGATACATGATTACTTCAGGAGCAATAGAAACGCGTCTTGCTAGCTTTTGATTGATTTTTACTAAAATCATTCTACTAACACATCCACCCACACCCAGATGTTAATAGAAATCATTGATATTTGTTCAAAACTTTCATTTCATAATAGTTATTGACTTCTATATTCAACTAAGATTATAGTCAGAGTTAATACTATTATCGAAATTTTATATGTGCAAATGTCTTTATATTAATTATTATATCGAAAAGTAATTCAAATGTTATATACCTATCATCTAAGAATTACTATCTAGTAGATACAATATTAAGCATTCCACCTGATAAAGTCCCGATAAGACAGAAACAATCGTTGTTGTGAATCCGCGATATGTCTATCACACACCTATAATCTATTCAAAACATCTTAAGTTTGGCATCAAAATAATCGGGAGCTCATGATCTCTCATTCTATATATGGCCTAATTAGATTGGGTCTTAATGATCAAAAGAGGCCAAAATGCTTTCTTATGCACCCTCCGTCGGTTCCTATGTTCGACTTAATTCTTATGTTAGTCCTTAAATGGATTGCGAGTGACATGTTCTAGAATAGTAGATTGAAAACATTCAAACTTTCTTTAATCATTCCGAGTTTTTTTTCTATTTATTCCATATAAATAAAAAAGACAATGATGAAAAGCAGATTATTTTGTTTCTGGTGTGATAATAATTTGGAAAACGTGTTGTGGTTTTCCTTTCTGATGATTCTGATTCAAATGTAGGAGAGTAGCTTTTTGCTCACACTTCTCGCAATAGATTAATGAAGGACAATGAATACAATCGAATCGAATGCCACGAACAGTTTCATGACAGCCGTCGCAGCTGAAAAAGTTTTCATAAAAAATCAACGATAAAAAAACAAATTTCTGATTCTGACTCACTTAATATTTTCGTGTACGACAAGCTTATTTTCAGGATTTAGTAAATCCCGCATAACTTCTTCCGGTTTTCGGTCTGGTGCTGCTACATATGGTTTCGCCTGATCCCAGGAAAAACTTTGTCCACAACCCGATTGATCATTCCCACCGTGATAATCTCTTCCACATACCATTGATGAGCAACCTCCCATATGTTGTACAACTCGACCACAATGTGGACAAAGGCGACAATTCTTTTCTTTATACTTTTCATCAGCTACTAATGCCTGATATCGGCGACGCAACGCTGCATTTTGTGCCCCATGTGCCTTCTGTTGTCGCTCATATTCCTTCAATCTAGCTGCATAGGCAGCATTTGCTTTTGCCTTTGTCTGTAGATAACGACCACGCTCTTAAAATACAATATCAAAAAATTAAGAAAAATAAATTTCAAATTTAATTGAACATTTTACCTGTATTACACCAAAAGAACCATTGTCGTGTTATCTCTAGTAACTGTTGACAGCGTGTTCGGTAATGATACTGTTGATTGCACAATGAACAAAATTCGTTAGTACATAGTTGACACTCGACACGAAAACGTTCCATCGGATTTTCAGGTTCAAATGCCCATTTGCAATTTTGATTCGGACATTTAATAACGCCTCTATCACTACCCGTGTAACGTTCGAATGTCTTCTGCACTTGATATTGAACAAATTGATCTCGTTCTGCTGGTGAAACTCGCAATTGCTTCAGTTCAATGTATGGAAGCTGATACGAACAAATTCCACACGTTAGAATCTCGTTATTCTTCATCTTTGTTCTACATAATATTTCATAACATTTGTAGCAAAGTTTATGACTATCAGGACAACCAAAAACATATATATCATCGTACAGACATAATTCTATACATGTGTCACATTCACGACTGGGAAGTTCATATGGAAACACAGATTCTACAATTTTAAACATATTATTCAAGTTTAGAAAAAAAACGGAGAGCTTACCAAATTCGGCAAGTGCTTCGACAATCGAGAGTGCATCAATACGTCGATGATTTTTCTTTTCCATTTCAATAAAAAAATCAATCTGTTGAGAACTAAATGGATATTTGGTTCGAGGAAGAATAAAATCGACCAACTTTTCTTGTCGATACATCGGATCATTACGCCACTGTCGTACATGTTCATCCAATTGACTCATCGACTGTGGACAACGACAATAATCACAAGACACTGCATTTTCTAGATCGCACATGTTCACGTGTTGATTAAAATCAGCTATGATGTCAAGATCAATGTAGAAATGACATCTTGGACATTGTGGACGTTGTTGAGTTTGAACAAGAGCCAAGAGACGTCGAAATGTATGCTCGTCGAGAGGAATTAATGATAGATCATAACGAGACAGCTGATAGTCACAGAACATTGAATGACATACCGGAATAGATCCCGATTCAAGAAATCCATCTAGCGAATTTCGAAGACAACGCAAACAGTAGACGTGATGCGATTGACATGGAATTAGAATAGCTGTACCATTAGTTTGACTAACAGTTGATGAACTAAATTGAAAAGAAAAATGATATCATTAGAGTTTGTTATTTATAGAAAATATTAAATCTAATCAAATTTCATGCTAAAGATCATATAAAGAAAAACAAAACTTTTATTTTAATTTCTATTTGTGCACTATACTAAATGAGAGTAATTCATTGAATAGAAAATTTTGTCAAGAGAACAAAATATCATAGAAATGACTTACCAATTCAAACATGAATCTTTGGTGTATGTATTCGCAGTACTAGAAGTGGTATCATCTGGTGATTGAGGAAGGCATGCTTGTACATGAGCTATATAATTAGCTTCGTCAATGGGTTTGAAACAAAAAATGCAGTCCCTCGTGCGTTTTCGATTTGAAGCATTGACCGTTTGCAAATCAATCTAAGTAAGAGTCAAAGCATTCTTAGAGCACGGTTTCGATTTGAAATCTTCGTACGATTGTTGAGATTGCGTCTATTAAATTACTTACGAGCTTCCTGTGTAAATTAATCATAGCATATACAGACAAAGAACTACCTGTAGTCGAGATCACTCTTGTTCGTTGACTTACGGTTTTATGAAAAATTTCATTCAGAGAAGGTTTCAAGTAGGATCTAGTTTTTGACACGCGCATACTTAGAAGAAATTGATTTTGTTCAATAGAAAAAGAGTGCTACTCGGAAGATTTTTTTTAATGTTTTCTAACGGGTGGCCCAGAATAAATGAAAGTCTCAGTATTTCGCTAATATCTCGTTCAATTTTCATTGTACAAGATTAAATTTTTTTCTAAAAGATGCGCCACTCTATTCTTGGCAAAACGCATGTCGAGAACTCTTTTGAAGACAGTTAAGGGAGAAACGCTTTAAATAGTACTGAAGACATACGAAAAGGCCAACTTTCAATGATGAAAAACCGTTTTTGCTCGTGTGTTCGTTGGCTAGTTACGATTGAAATCAAAGAAAATAAGCATTTTGTAGCCCTTGAGAAGCTCTATCTATGGCTCATAATTAGAAAATTTCGTGATCATATTCGCGACAAATACTGATCATTTTCTTTTTCAGATTTTCGAAAACTTCGATGTTTCAATCTGCAATTTCGAAGCTCCTGCGAAAAGAGGCATAACTAAGCCAAAACAGCGTCATTTTGGGTCGGGTTGTCTTTATTTTGATAGAAAATGACTACTGTATCAGATTAACAGACGGAAGTTGAGGTCGAATTCTCTTCTTCAATTCAGCTGGTAAAACATGTAAGATTTGAGGCATTTTCAATAGAATTTT